TGTTTTCATTATTTACCCCAGAAGAGGTAAATAATGAAAACAGAGTAAGGCAACAGAAGAGGAGCAAGTTGGAGAGGCTGAGGAGGAAGAAACCAGGAGAGGAGCTCAGCAAGGCTGCAGACTGAAGAGGAACAGGAACCATTGGAATACAGTTGGAAGTGGCTGTTTTCTTTCATTTAATAATTTAATGTATTAAACATCCATGAATCGTTTGATTCAAGCACTTCAAGTTGCATGTAAACGTGAAGAAATGAATCACATTTTAAGTAACAATTTGATATTTAAATATTCAGGTAATAAACATACACGTAATGAGATTATATTTTTAAATAAATATTTTATGTGATTAAAGTAAACAATTATATAATCAGAAATCTAATTGTATACAGCAAAACCATCAACAAGTGGGGGAGCAAGTTACAGAGACTGTTTTCATTATTTACCCCAGAAGAGGTAAATAATGAAAACAGAGCAGCGGAGGCAACAGAAGAGGAGCAAGTTGGAGAGGCTGAGGAGGAAACCCCAGAAGAGGAGCTCAGCAAGGCTGCAGACTCTGTAGAGGAACAGGAACCATTTGTGTTGAAATATGTGTACAAGTGGAAGTGGCTGTTTTCTCATTTAATAATTTAATGGATTAAACATTCATGAATCGTTTGATTCAAGCACTTCAAGTTTCATGTAAACAGGTGAAGAAATTAATCACATTTTAAGTAAAAATTTGATATTTAAATATTTCAGGTAATAAACATACACGTAATGAAAGATTATATTTTCAAATAAATATTTTAAACAATTATATAATCAGACATCTGTCAGGACTCTGGGTTTTTGGGTTTGTTTTGCTTTTCATTTTATTTAGCTTCATGTTTTAATTCACTAGTTCACTAGTTTAGCCCTTCATGGTCCTTTTGACATTATTAGAGGTATTTAGTGTAGTTGGAATTATATTATTGCTTTTCCTTGTTTGTCTGAGTCCAGCCTTCTTTAATGACTATAGTTTAATTCTATTTTATCCTTCTAGTTATTTCTTATTTCAGCCTCCCTGCAGGGTTTCTAATAATGTTTATTTCTTAATTTGATCACCATAGGTTCAGTTATTCTTCCATGTCTGAGTCTGTATCTTTCTTTAGTAATTCTAGTTGGGTTTTTCTTTGTTTAGATCTTCTAGTTTCTCTTGCTGTGTGTTCCTTAGTTCTTATTGTTAGATCAGCCTTGTTTCTATTTAGGTTCGGTTATGGTTTCCCTCATATCTTTCTCTCCTAGTTCATCAGGTTTTCTTTACTCTTAGTGTTTTTTGTATTAGAAGTATTTTTCAGTTCCCTGTTTCCTCCCGTTTCTGTTCCCAGCAGATCTCCTTAGTTTCCCTGTGCCACCTCCTCCCCAGCCCTCAGCCAGCTGCTGTGCCAAATTACTCACATCTGCTATCACTCTTCTCATCTAGCAGTCATTGTTCCCATTACTTAAGCTCCTCTTTGTCAGACACAACTCACCAGTCCAACTTGTTACCCTGCTCACCATGTTGCCAGTTGTTACCTTTGTTATCCCCCCTGTCTCCTGTTTCATTGTGTTTAGGATTTCCTTGTTTTCCCTGGATTTTGGATTTAGTTCGTTTATTTTGTTCATTAAAATAACATCTTCATAAAGTACGTCCACCGCCACATCATGACACAAACCAGATGAAAGAGCCCATCTTTAAACATTTAATGTGTAATTAAACAATAAAGGTGACAAATGTTATGAAATAGATCAGTCTTTAAGTAGATATTTGTTGTATTTAACATATTCCAGGTAAGTGAACATGTAATGAAATAGATCCAGTCGTAGAATTTTATGCAATTGAACATTACGGGTAACAAGTGATGACCATCTGAGGTAATACATTTTATGAATATTTTTTAAAATATAATTTTGGTTAAATAAAAAAGGGGTCCAAATGGAATAAAAATATGCCTCATCTATGCAGTCTAGTAGAACAATTTCACACAGATTGAGTTAATGGCACACGATTTGGAAGCTACTGAAGAAAACATTTAATGTTAAATTTATTTAAATTATTGAATATGCCTTAAACATGTAATAGAGGATAGTGTGCCTCGTGTAATAGCATGAATGACCACTTTTTTGTATCAGTTGGTCACAAGTCAAGGCATTTATTTACAGGAGTGTTTGGAAATTGACGGTCTCTATGTGAACCTCCGAGCGCTTCAGGAGGCATCGGTAGAGAACAGCTGGCCGAAATCAGCGTTCATAAATCGGACCAACCTTGAGATAAACGTCCCTTACTCCGCAGAGCGCGAATATCCAGTATCCAACTTGAAAACAACTTCACTGCAGTCGGTAATACAATAAAACCACCGGGATAAAGTTTGTTTTGGTCTGTGGCCTGTAAAGATGGCACCGAGCGACTGGACCTAAACGCCCCACAACGTCTGACGCAGTGACGTTGGTCCAAAGCTCCACTGGCCAATAGCAGCTCTCTTCATTAACATAACGATGCAGCAGAAATACAGCGAGCAGAAAAAGACAAAGCAAAAATCTATTTTTCTTGACAGAAACTCATGTGTAAGGAAAAGGAAAAACTAAATATATATATTTATGCTTTTATTTCTAATCAAAATATATATTTATTATTTTATTTATATATGTAAGATATATATTCTTTTATTCATATATTTATTATTCTTTTATTTCTTATTATGTCGATTTTGGTCCTTAACTAACAGCAACGCAGGAGAATATGAACTAGAATCTCCTTCATAATCTAAATAAATATTTTATCTCATTCCACTGCTGACAGTCTTGTTACATTTAATGTCAGTTCAGTTTCAGTCGTTCACTTTTAACGTGGAGATCGAAAATCAATACTGAATCTCCGAAAACATTTCTGATTAACTGAATCTACGATAAACGGATCGCTTTGCTCACCTTCCCAAAATCTAATGAAATGATATTTTCTCAGAAATGATGACAACAAACTCACAGGACCTAAGATATGTTTCGAAAAATAACACTGTTTTCATACCAGTATTCATTAAAACTTAAACACGGAGTGAGAAGTTCCACTGAAAATTCATTATCCTGAAGTCTGGATGTTTGGCAGTTTAACTGGAATCTCCTGGTCTCAAAATCCACATTTCCAAGGATTTCAAATCCTGCCAGCTTCCGAAATATAAAATTAGAAAAATGAAACCATATGGAATGTTTTAAGCCATTCTTTCCTAAGCGCAACAACCATGACGTCAAAGTCAGATTCATTAATAACCAACCTTCTCATGTGATTAATTAATCGGGACTTTTATCAAAAACATTTCTTCCTGTTTCATTCATAAACATTAACTTCATTCTCGACTCTGACTGATGAAATGCTTTGATGTGTTCAGTAATGAATGAGAGGAATCTCACATTTCTATCTTAGGAATTTATGAAATTATACTGAGGGCAGCACTGGATCGTTTTTGTTTGTTTTTTATCGTCAGAAATCTGGATGATCTTGTTATTGATTTGAAGCATTAATAACTGAGTTATTGTGGTTAACAGTGTAATGCCAAATGCTTCGCTGGATCTTAAATCTAGAGCGGAGCCCTGGATTTATGGAAACCGAGCTATAAATATCACCGTAGAGCAGCTCAATTAATCCACAAAGATAATCCCCTAAACTTTGCAGCATCTCAGAGAGGAATGAGTGAAATCCAACCTGACAGGACGATGATAAAGGCTGATTGTTAAACCTCTCAGTTCTATTCAGTCTGAGCAGAAACCTGAGCTAACATTTCATAATCATACACAGAGATCTTCTGATTATAAACATCCACCATTAGATGTTTATTAGGTTTGGGGATTAAACTGATAATCCCTGTTTTATTGTATCAGAGAGATTACCTGTCAGGATATATTTTAGAAAGGCTTTGAACAACATCTCTAATACTTCCCATAAAAACCTGCAGAATGCTGTTGTTTTTAGCCTGGTGATTATCTTCTTAGCAGCCGGACTCTGAACCGTCCAGGCAGGAAACGCCGGCAGTCAGAAGACCCAGGTTTGTACCACGATCCCAGTAAACGGCTGGCAGAGCCTCCAGTCTGTCACTGGTTCACCTGGTCAACATTAGCTTCCTCAGTGAACTCAACGTCTTTGAACGGTTTGAATAAACTCCATTGGAGGAAAGCCAGACCATCGTTCCCCATGTTTTAACTCAGCTGTAATTATGCCAGCTTCCAGAGACCAACAGTCACGTCTTAAAGACTTTCACCCGCTGCTCTAACGTCCACCATGACGAAATGCTTCGAGAGGTGAAGGCCCCTTCCACACTGCCTCCATCATCTGACCCAGTCCAGCTTGGATAACCGCTCCACTGAGGATGCCATCTGCACAGCTCTTCATCTGCTGGGAACACCTCGGTACCTGCGCTGTTCAGCTCAGCATTCAACTCCATCATCCTCCAGGATCTGCTGACTGGTCCCACTGGGCCTCTACTTGCTGCTGGACTTCCTCGCTGACAGAGCTCAGTCTGTGCCTGTGGGTAATAAGTCCTCATTTCTTTGAACACCAACGACCCCCAGGGCGGTGTCCTCAGCCCCCTGCTGCCCAACGACTGCCGTCCCAGGTTTACCACCAACCACATCCTGAAATGTGCAGACGACCATCGTGGGAGCCATTCTGAGGTGCAGCATCTTGCGGACTGGTGAACGACCGACTCCTGAACATCGACAAGACCAAGGAGATCACTGTCCATGTCAGGAGGTCCCGACCAGCCGCACGCCGCTCCTCATCAACGGATCCAAGTTCCTGGATGTGGACATTACAGACACCCAGCTGGACGCTTCATATCACTTTTCTGGGGGTTTTCTGTGTGCTCCGGTGGCGACATTTTGTCTCTGTTTCACTGTCATGTCTTTGTGAAATGTCAGTAGGTCTGGATCATTTCCTAAACCAGCTGGCCTCAGACCATCAGGTTTCCTGGTTCTGGGTGCAGAATCAGATTGTTAACCTGGTTCTGTATCTGGAGCCTCCCGACTCGCCTGCATGATCCAAACACACTGAAATAAAACGCCTGATGGTCAGGAATGTTCTGCATGTAATCTAGAGGAAAACCCGACGACAAGGAGAGATGCAGTTAGTTTTCCTGAAGGAAATGGTCAGTAAATAACCTGGTAATAAAATATAACTTATCATTAAACATCTGGATTCATTCGGACCAAAGTTATTAAGAGGCTCTTTGGAGGAACCCTGGTTCTGTTCCAGTTTGGGTCCCAGTTGGGCCTAGTCAGAAGAGACTGGTTTTTTCAGTCTGTGTGAATGAGTGATGGAGGTTTACTGGTTTCCTCAGGAGGAACTGGGAGTGGCGGTGGACAGGCTGTGTCTGGAAGCTGTGGATCAAATCCTGAAGATCCTGGAAACCAGCATGACCAGGCAGGAAGAGGCTCCGCCCACACTGGCTGACACCTGTGGAGGGTTAATAAAGACCCAGACAGGTGGAGGTGAGTCTGCAGGACAAACAGTTTCAGATTTTTAATGTGTTTACCACAGATTTAACATTTAAAAATGATATGATTTGCAATTAGCACAGGAAGAAACCCTCAATCATCTGCATAGAGGCGAATATTTAGAGGTAGAAAACAGTAGAGATGAAGGATTAGTTAGAGACATTGGGAGGAGCTTTAGGACAGGACCCTGGGGAACACCGTCAGGACCAGGTGTAAACCTGTCTCCCAGGTAAATGGTCTCTAAACCAGTTAGTAGACCGATCCTGGGATAGGGTTAGGCCAGGATCGGGTCATGAACACGATTCAGGTAGGTCTGGGTCAGAGTCTGTGTTTGGTGTGAACGGGTGAAGATCGTTGTGTTTCTGTGTGTCAGGTGAGCAGGAGCCCGGCTCAGGCCACGCCTATTTCCTGCTGTACAGAGTCAGTGACGGACCGGCTGCAGAGGCAAACCGTAGAGACGCAGAGCAAAGCCTGACCATGTTTCCATTTCTGAGCGCTGCTGGTGACGCCAGGAGCCTGCTGGTGGCGCTGCAGAGCGCTGAGGGTGAGTCTACCTGCTGATGTGCTGAGGACGTGAGGAGCTCCTGGTGGAGTCAGCTGCTGCTGATGGGGTCTGTTCCTCATAGGGCAGCTAACTGCAGCGCCCTCTGCTGCTCATCAGATGAACTGTGTCTGTGTTCCAGGTGACAGCAGAAGCAGCGCCTCTTCCTCCCCTCCGACCGATGACCATGAGTACGCTCGACCCCCAGAGCCACCTGACGGCGGGGCCAAACGCTGCAGGCGGCGGCAGGCGGGGGCCCCGGCGAGCGAGGAGCTTCACCTGCAGTGCTGGCGCTGCAGCAGGCTGTTCCCCAGCGCCGAGCGGCTGGCCGACCACCACAGGAAGTCCCACCCGCTGTGCTCGGTGTGCGGCGCGGCCTTCAGCGGCGTCCTGAAGCTCCGAGAACACCAGATGAAGGAGCACAGCCTCCTGCCGTTCGCCTGCGGCTTCTGCCCCAAGAGCTTCAACCACAAGACGCACCGCGACCTGCACGTCAAGGCGCGCCACACCGGCGAGAAAAGCTGCCGCTGCGACATCTGCGGGAAGGGCTACTCCTGCGTCAGTGCGCTGAACACGCACCGGGTGACGCACTACAGCAAGACGTTTATGTGCGAGGTCTGCGGCAAGGCCTTCTACCACGCCTCCCACCTGGCGCGCCACGCGCTGGTGCACCAAGAGCCGCGCCCGTTCAGCTGCTCCACCTGCGGGCGGCGCTTCACGCAGGCCGCCAACCTGCGCAGCCACCAGGCCACGCACGCCGGAGAGAAGCAGCTCTGCTCCGTCTGCGGCAAGAGCTTCCGCTGCCTGAGGAACCACATGATCAGCCGGCACGCCCAGGAGCCGGCGGCGGCCGGCTTGCTGCCGCCGGCCGTCACCTGCCAGGTCTGCGGGAAGAAGTTCCCCAACCCCTCGCAGCACCGGGCGCACCAGCGCAGGCACACGGGGGACAAGCCGTTCCACTGCGATGTGTGCGGGAGGAGCTACCGGTTGAAGGAGCTGCTGCGGGACCACCGCTACACCCACGGGGGGCAGAAGCCCTACCGCTGCTCCACCTGCGCCGAGACCTTCAGCCGGGCCTCCAGCTTCCTGCGGCACCGCAGCATCCACAGCGGCCAGGCGCCGCACAGCTGCCAGCGCTGCGGGAAGCACTTCCGGCTGCGCAGCTTCCTCCAGGCTCACCTGCAGACCAAAGCTCACCTGAGGCGGACGCAGCTGAGCCAGAGCGCCGAGCCTCCTTTAATCCCAAATTAGCAGCTGAGATGGAAGAACTCATGAAGGCGCAGGGCTGGACGGTTCGGTTCCTCCGTCTGTTTGACTTTAATCTGTCATTAAACATAAACATAGAGCGAGTTAGATTGTTGGAAGTCGTGTTTTTTAATACAGTTTTAAATCACGGCTCCATCGCGCTGCTCCAGGGCGGACGGTGGCGCCCTGGGCACGCAGCCCTGAGGGACTCCAGCTGGACGTGTTCCTGACCCGGTCCAGGGCCGCTGCTAATCCTGTCTGCTGGTTCTGGACCGGCTGCTCAGTCAGTTCTCTGCAGCAGAGGACTGGTTTGACTGGTTTCCAGTTGAGCAGCTTGAGGGAGTCCAGTAAATCCAGATGATGATGTGTAATCCAGCAGACCTGCGATCAGATTAACGGACGTATCCAGGCGATAATCCCACCTCGGTGTTTGAACGACGGTTCGATCATAATCTGCGGTTTGTTTACGTTCCAGATGCTAGCTGCGGCTAATCAGGACCACAACATGTTTGTTTCATCGTTATTATGATCATGTGACAATCAGCTGATCAGATTATCGGCTTCCAGGATCCGTCAGACACACCAGGTCAGAGGTCACGGGGTGTATTCATTTATTAAAGTCAATTTCAAAATAAACAAATGGAGATTTTTCAGCAGCAACTTTACTAACTATTGATTATAGATATATTAGTGATATTTATCTATAATCAATAATAATCCAGTAAAATGTTTCAATTCTTCATTACTGCAACATATTAGAAACCGGAACCACCGGCTCACATCTGGATCCAGATCCGGTTCTGCTTCATCAGGTGAAACCTTCCGGTCCAGTCTCTGATCGCTCCCGGACCAGAACCGGAGCTGCTGGCCCCGCCCCCTGCCTCCTACGTGGACTCACCTGTCGGGGGGGTAGAAGGTGGGTCAGTCTCGGTTCGGCCCGCTCCAGACCGACATGGCTCTGTGCAGGGGAACCGGACTCTTCTGGATCCTCCTGGGCCGCCGCAGCTCGTCCGGACCGAACCGGGCCCCGGTCCGGTCTCTGTCCCGGCTGCCCCACCGGGACCTGTTCCGACTCTCAGTCATCGAACCGGACCGGTTCTGGGGCCCCGCAGCCGCCGACAGGCTCCACGGGGCCGAACCGTTCCAGCGCGTCCAGGACTGCCACCTGAACCGGGCCCGGATCCGCTGGTTCCTGGGCGGTAAGCGGAACGTGTCCGGTGAGTTCCGAACCGAACCGAGGGGTTCGGTCCGGTTTCTGAATCATATCCTGACTGTTCGGATCAGGAATTAAAGTTCAGATCAAGGTTCGGCTGATTTTTCTCTGAACCGAACGTGTGTGGATCAGTCGGTTTCTTTCTGACACAAACGGTAGAAAGGTTGAGGTTCGGTTCGGTTCGGACTGGTTTATTAATAATAAGGTGTTGGGGAACCGGAACCAGAACCATGAATGGACCAGAGCAGCAGAATGTTTTAGATTTCCTACTGTGGGTTTGGACCGAACAGAACCAGCAGAGTCCCAACCTGTGGGGAGCGGGCCTAACAGAGGCCGGCAGGTGGAGATGAGACCGGTTCTGATCCGCAGTCAGAACCGGTCTGACTGCGGATCAGAGTCTGATGTGACTCTGGTTCCCGGCACAGAGGACGGATTCTAGTTCTCCAGGTCTGGTCCAGTCCAGACCTCTGGTGGTTCTGGACCAGGACCCGGTACCAGGTCCAGATGTTTTTCAGATTTTCATCCTCTGCCTTGTTTGTGTGTCGGATTATAATCCAATTATAATCCAATAACGGCGGCAGGATGATTGGTTCCCATCAGCTCCGATACAGGATCAGCTCTCCATTACATAAACGGGTTCTGTGGCGCCGCTGCGTGCCGCTTCGGCCCGGCCCGGCCCGGTCTGCTGCCTCTAAATCCACTTCAGGATTAATGTTCAATCAGAGAACAAATGAAGTCAGTTTCCACCACGAGTCCCGCCAGGTCGGGATGATGATCTGCTCGGCGCCGCCACGGCTCACACTGGGGAGGGGGTTCTGATTGGACCGGAGGACCATCTGAAGCTCTCTAGGAGGGAAGCTGATGTTCTCCAGAACCTTCAGAACCAATCCAGTCCCTCAAAGGACAGACTCAGGCTCTGTTTAACTCTGTTTCCATGGTAGCATCGCCAGGCCTTCAGCTAGAGCAGCATAGCCGGGTCCTGGAGGTCCGAGGTTCTCCTGGAGGGAGCCGTTCCCTCCTGATCCAGGTTCTGCTGACCTGGTTCCATCTCTGTCCCAGTGACATTCACACGGAGACGGTCCGGCTCATCTCCATGACGCTCCATAAACCTGCAGCAGAGACACGATGTCCAGGATCCGTCTTCGTCCTCAGAGCTTTTCTCATCTCCAGAGAAAATCTCAACTCAAAGTTGGCATGAATTGAATTGGTGCTCAATTCATTCTTAATCCCTGCTAACCTTCTGCTAATTTTCTGCTAAACTGATGCTAAATTCATGCTAACTTACTGCTAGATTAATGCTAACCTACCTTCACGTATATAACAATCAGAACATGGCTGCCACTGAACTCAGGTTTTACCTGAGGACGTAAATCTTTGCAAGGGATGCAGAAGACAAAGTTCTGTTTTAAGGAATATTTAGAACCAGAACATTTCAGACTGTCAGACCTTTGGTCAGTGTGAGGAGGTGAGCAGGTCGCCGCTGAGGAACATTTCTGTTGTGGTAGCAGAACCTCAGAGCGTGACGTGTCCACACTGATAACGGTGATGAGCCGAGGCGCGAAGCTCAGAGATCCCGCAGAGTGACAAGATGTTACTGATCAACAGGAATAACGACCTGAAACCATAAAACCAGCTCAAAATGAGACTCAATGAGCTGAATGTGCCCAGAAACAAACCGGCTCAAGTCCAACAGAACATTTTCTTCCACAGCTGGATGGCTTTCAGAATCAAGAGGCCAAATCAAGCAGAGTTGACCCAGTTGGTACCAGAATCTGATCCCAGGTGTCAGAACAGGGATGTTATCTCTGCTGAGTGAGTAAACTATGATCCTGATAACTTTACAGCATTTTCCAGGCCCAAAGTTTCCTCTGAAACCCAACCGCCTGAAGACAAACAGAAGAACCTGCAGAGAAATCTGGATGTTCAGTAACGAGTCTTTATTTTCTCCTGGTCCAACCAGAAACTGATCCAATCACCTTAATCCTGTCCAACTAAGTCTTTAGGTTCTTCTGCTGTTAGTCACAGTTTTCTGTCTCTCAATACTGGACATGTTTCCACAGCAGACCTTCATCAGAGCTGTCGCCAGGTGGGACCTGACATCAGTCAGCTGTCTGGCAGTGACAGCTGAAATTCTGTCCAATAACAAAAGAACCTAAAGACAAGAAACAGTTTGATCTTTACCGTCTTAACTTTGACCCTCAAAATGCTTACCTGTTAGTCAAAGGGTACCTGTGCCATTATGACAGAGGTCTGAATGTTCTCTGGTCAGATTTACTCCTGGTTTCCAGATAAGAACGTTCAGATGTTGTTAGAACCCAGAGAACGTTCCTGAGGAATCCCTGGACCTCAGGACGTTCTGTCTCAGCTCAGTGCAGGGCTGTGATCACCTGTAACCAAGGTGTGAGAGGAGGCCGAGTCATCGAGCTCAAGGCCGCTGCGGTGAAGACTTGTCCATCTGTCCAACATGTCTTTGTCTCTTAGAGGACCGAACAGCTTGCAGTGATGGGAAAGATGGACGTCCCTCAGGAAGAGGTGGGACACCTGATCAGAAGGTCCATACCAGTCCAAAAATTACCAACACACCCAGTCCATACCTGACTGGTCCACACCTGACCAGTCCATCATGTGAAACCCAGGCGGGTTACCTGCTGTACACCTCCATCACTCACCAGGGGTACGTCTCTGGTCTTTGAACCTAACCGCGGTGGAGAACTCCTGGTTCCTCATGGTGCTAGAACATTATGACCTCATCAGGATTCTGACCGGGTCATATCGGGCCAAGGCCACTGGCTAGTTGGGTCCTCCTGTCGTTGGGTTCTTCTGGCACCGGTGGTTTTGACCAAAGAGAAGCTGAGTGCCACCAGGAGTCCTGGTTGGTCCCTCCATGTAGCACCCTGAGTTGCTTCTCTGCCATCGGATCGGACTTCCTTGTGGTTCTGTTCAGGGACAGCGCCATGGAGACAGTCCAAAAGTTCTCCAGAGACAGCACCTACCTGAACCCGGGAACAGTTGGATGCTGGTTTTCCTGCCTGGTGGAGATTTTCTCCAGCAGGCCTGGGAGAAGGAACAACATTCAGTCTGAAGAGGAGAACCTCTGAAGGGAACCAACCTGGTTCTGCCAACAGGTCCAGAACTCACCAGAACCCTGTTTCTGTTGTTCCAGTTGGTGTTCGACTACCAAGACGGAGACGTGTTTGGCTGCATGGCGGACATCTGCTGGATCACAGGACAAAGCTACGTGGTCTACGGCCCGCTGTGCAACGGCGCCACCACTGTCCTGTTTGACAGCACACCTGTGTACCCGGATCCAGGTGAGCCGGGTCAGCAGCACCAAAACTCCCTGCTTCACCTACACAGCTTCATCCAGCGGTCCAATCCCACATTCCCCACTGGAGGCATTCTGAGGCTGGATGGATGATCTATATGCAGGTTAATCTTGAACCTCAGGTGAGTCTCACCTGCAGCAGGAAGTGGAGCTGCAGTCAGTCATTAACCTGGTTTTATGGTCTGCAGTTAGACCAATGAAGACCTTCGTTCTGCTTTCTGAGCTCTGATTGGTCAGGAAGGATCGGAGCCAACACCCATCACCAGAAGATGATGTCTCCTTTTATCTGTTAGGTGACCTTTGACCTCTGTCATCCCAAACAGACATAGAGTCCAGACAGTAGCACCAGAAATCATCATTAAAGCGGTTGTGAGAGGCAGGGGGCGGAGCTTAAGCAGGAAGTTTAACAGAGTGTGGCCGTGTGGGACGGAGTGTGTGTCTCACCTTGCCTGTGTCCAGGCAGGTACTGGGAGACGGTGCAGTGGCTGCAGATCAACCAGTTCTACGGAGCGCCGACGGCTCTGTGGCTGCTGCTGAGACACGGAGACGACTGGGTCAGGAAGTACGACTGGAGCTCTCTGAGGATGCTGGAGTTAGGTGGGTCCAACCGCTGGGACACTGGGATCCAACTGGTCCAACTCAGCCAGAACCTGACAGGAACCGGTTCTCAGGTTTGACACCAAACACACCAGGCACAGACACTCTGGGACTAGAATTAAATTCTGGACCAGGAACTTCAGATCCAGTTTCTGGGTCAGAAAGTTCAGGGTGTTTGTCAGTTACCTCATCATCAGCAGAACCACATGTCTCAACCGCTAATCTAGCCTAGCAGACATGAAGTCATGACATCACTTCCTGGCAGATGGAGACCAGGAAGTGATGTCATCACCACCTGGATATCACTAGGAAGTGATATCATGACTTCCTCTGGCCCAGGATTGGTCACTGTTGATGCTCCATATCTGGGGAAACCCATCAACCATGAGGCCTGGCACTGGTTCCACAGCGTGGTGGGGGAGGGACGCTGCCCCCTGGTGGACACCTGGTGGCAGACAGGTGAGACACCGCAGGTGATTCACAGCATCACACAACCAGTCTGAGGGACTTCCTCCTAGTTCTCCCAGTTCCTGACCCAAAGCTGGAGAATCTCCCAGAGGAACCTTCCTGCTGTCTGTGGAGGTCAGAGATAATGGAGGTCCGTTAGCTCCTCCCACATCTGGTTCTGGTTCTGGAAGCCGACCCGACAGTAAGTCCTCCTGATTTCACTGAAGTTTAAACCCTAATTGGAACGATCAGCAGCAGAACATCTGCAGCTCAGCGGACAATTAACAACCAAACCCCCCTC